TGGAAAGGATTCAGAAGCTTAGATAACTCTAATCTGCACTTCAGTGACCATGAAGCCTCAAGCGGAAGTGAACTTGGTCACAGCCTTAGTGCCCTCACTGACGGCATGCTTGGCCAGCTCACCCGGCAAGACCAAGCGAATCGCAGTTTGGATCTCCCGGCTAGAGAGAGTTCCCTTGTTACTGTACTTACAAAGACGCCCGGCCTCCGAGACTATACGATCAAAGGTGTCGCTCACCAGCGAGTTCATGATCATCATGCTCTTCTTGGATATACCGGTCTTAGGATGCACTTGCTTCAACACCTTGAAGATGTAGCTGTTGAAGGTCTCCTTCCTGGAAGATCTACGCTTCTTATCAGCAGCAGGCTTGCTGGCGGCGGCAGTTTTGGGAGCCATATTAGGATTTAGAGAGTCAGTAGAAAATTATGTAGTTCGAAAACATCTGAACATTGTCTCGGCCCTCCGAGAAACTTCTAATACAAATATCGTAAAAATGCTGAGGAACATAAAATTTAATCGGCAACATCACGAATCCTTTCCTCACATCATTTGTGCAATAATTGCGTTCCTGAGATACTTCAATTGGTGTTTAGATGGCGCCAAAAAACGCCTTGAAACGAATTCAGCAGGTTAGTGCCTCCAGTTGCATAAGCCCGAGGGGATTATTTACATCTCCTGGGAAGCAGTAAAGCTCTTGCCCTTACTCTTTTTGGGCAAAAGAGTAGTGTGGATGTTGGGTAAGACACCACCACTCGCAAGAGTTACACCAGCGAGGAATTTGTTCAGTTCCTCATCGTTGCGGACAGCCAATTGAATATGACGAGGAATGATCCTAGTCTTCTTATGATCACGCGCAGCGTTACCGGCGAGCTCGAGAATCTCAGCGACGAGGTACTCCAAGACTGCAGCTAAGTAAACTGGCGCCCCAGAACCTACGCGTTTGGCATAACGCCCCTTCTTGAGGTATCTCGCGATACGGCCAACAGGGAACTGTAGCCCGGCCTTGGCGGACCGAGACTTAGCTCGCTGCACTCTTCTTGCCAGCCTTACCGCGTCCACCTTTGC